TGCATTCAAATCCAAAAACGCCCATGTCTAATTGGTGGTCCACTACTGTGCGATTTAGAAGTTTTCTTCCTCGCACAACTTCTTTGTGGAATGGAATTCCACCATCAATTTTTCCTGACCGATGTGACTTAAGTACCTTCAATCTCTTTTATTGAGAGCCTACTCTTTTTTTAAGGGCTGGCAACGCATCTGCAATTACCCTAATGTTGTAGTTGTTCATTGGAGGCGGTAGTCACTTACAATCAGGTGAACTGTATGTTCTTTTGCCCCATCTATTATAAAAAACAAAACAAAATATAGCTCTAAGAACAAACAACCAACAGGGAAGGAAGGTTCTCTAGTGGCAATCTCGTACCAGTAGGTGAAGTATGGGGCGGACCCAAACTAGATAGAGTGAGGACCTGGTAAAACATGCGGGAAGGCAGTGGATGCAGGCGGCTCAGGACAGTGCTTTGGGCATACCTTAGGGGAGGCCTATATTCAGCAGTGGAATTGTGAAGGCCTGTAATGATGATGATGATTTACACATAGTTACAATCAATAACTTAATTCATCTCTTGTAAGAGGTGTTAGTGACCCTCATGAATTAAGACCATCATGCCTAAGATTTTCTGAAGCTTTTATCTCCACTTCTTCAATAGGTTATTCGAAATTTATAATTAGAAGGTAAAGAGGAAAATGAAGATGGCAGTTTGACTAAAATAATGGCTTTGGTACGTCCAGTGCTGCAGTGCACTCTGGGCAGCCATCCCTCCAACCACCTTGTTGACTGAATAAACTTTTTATCACGTATTTATTACCGATATAATTCAAGTACTGAATATAAAATACACTCACCACTAGGGGCACATCCAAACGAGCACAATTTAGGCATTTTGAACAAAATTATGTACGTGTAAAACACAACACAAAAACAGTGTCCTTTCGCGATATTGTCCAACACAATTCAAAACCGGGGCGAAGTCACCACAGCACAGCAAGGCGGAGGAGATCAAAGCTCGACTCTACGCACTTTCTGAGAGTTTTCACAACCGAAATAGAATTAAATAAAATGGAGAAATCTACAAACATGCGCACACGCAAACAGTAGCCACCATTTTGAGTTTTGACTTTCATTTTCGTTTGAATATTTGTATTTGACGTTTAGAAGTTTAGGGTGGCCAGTATCATAATTATCATAATCGATTGATTTCATGATGTTTAAATTTTTTTTATGTGAAAATAATATTTGTAATTAACAAAATCACCAATAAATTTATCGTGCATTTAATTTTATTTTTAAGTTATAATTTTAGTTTATTTTTAGAAATTAGCGACATTTGTGAAGTCCTTAGAACAATAATAAACAATGTTTTCGGAAACAAATTATGGATGGCGCTACCTTCAATTGAATTCTTGTGGTCCAAGGCAACTGTCCTATCCCTGTTGAAATTGCTTAGACGACACAGTTTGGGAAGGTTTGCTTTTTGTTCTCATGATATACTGTTAATAAGAAGTTAGCCTAAAGGTATTTTAAATTGATAGTTTATTCCAACTTAAAGAAAAACTAACGCTTGGATAGCTAAAAAAGCTGACTGATTCCCATGTCCACTAAAACTATATACGTTTTACCATCCTAGATTTTTTGTGGCCGAATCATTAGGCCGGCCGAAAATGTCAGGAAATTTATTGCTGAGGCAGGGATTTTGTCAGGAAAACTTACTTTGGATCTGGAAACCCTAGCCTAATGGCCATTTCATCAAAGAGCAAATAACATATTGGACGATATTCACTGAATTGGGATTTGGCTTTTAAGACCTGGAATGACTCATCTGTGCATCCCGGTTTCCCATTCATGCACACAAACCAACTAGACAACGTGATTGAATGTGGGAGACACGTATTAAATGTATTTCTAACGTATTAATAAGCCTTTGGAGATTAATAGCTGTGCGTTAGACAAAATCTCGTGCCCGTGTATCTTTAATGCTTTTTTAAGCTTTTTTCGGTTCCAATTGTTAACGCATAAATCAGTAAAAACTTAGAATACGTTTCGAAACTGTTCAGATGTCATGGAAAAATTACTGAAAAAAATCACAAGGAAGCTGGTCTTCAGCAATCAGACCCTCACATACGTGAGGCTCAGGAATAATTTGCTAGTCGCACGGTCGTGAGTATGTGAATGATTTAGGTCGAATAAATGAAATAATAAACATCAATTTAAATAAAATATGAATAATTTATGTTATCCTATTACATTAATCAGTCTGTATTACAATTATATATCTTCCATTTTTCCCATCTTACCCCGATTGTAGGGTTGTCGCCCTCCAAATTTAAAACGTCCAATGCAGGTAACGAATGTGCCATCACTTAATGGTTAGTTAAGAGAGTAACCTGAAAATAATATAGGGAACTAAGATCATGTGACCAATTAAATGGTGGCATATTTTGCCTTGGGCCAATTTAATGGTGGCTTTTTGCCCTGTTTTTGACCAATTTAATGGTAATTAACTTTTTTTTTCTGTCCAATTGAATGGTGGTATTCGATACCCAACGATCAATTTAATGGTGGTATTCGATACCCGATGTCCAATTTAATGGTGGTATTTGATACCCGATGTCCAATTTAATGGTGGTATTTGATACCCGATGTCCAATTTAATGGTGGTATTTGATACCCAATGGTAGTTTATACCAGACGGTACTCTGGTACTTTTAGCACAAATTTATTAGTCGTGGTAGATACTCAAGGCTAACTGAAATCTCTATACATTATTACAATTTTGTCTTTTTTTTAATTAGCATATTCACTAATTTTATATTATATGATCTTAATTAATAATTATTAATTAATAACTTAATAAATAATTATTAACGTATATTATTAATAAAGTCTTTATTGCACAAAAAGATGTCTCATGCCGACCACTATTTAAGACACTGGGGATCTTACTCGTGCCTTGTTTGTATATATTAGAAGTTGCTAAGTTTGTAAAACAACACGGGAAGAGTTTCTATAAACTTAATAAAGGAGTGGTATCCATGAACACGAGATACCCAAATCGGATAGTAATTAGCGAGATACCAAAAGTAAACGCTTTAGCAAAAGTTGTTACTGAATGGGTAAAACAATATAATATAATAAAATATCAAACATAATTAAAGATCTTCCTGTTCAAACATTTAAAAAAAATTATACCAGTGGCTTCTTCAAATACATTTTACTCGGTAAATAAGTTTTTTAAATTACTGATGACAACTTTTTATGACAACTTTTTATAGGTCTATAGCTCATAATTGACATTTTTTGTTATTAACTGACATGGTATATAATATTGTGTAATCAATTTTCTTCATTTGTTAATTTTTTTTTAATTTTACTTTTGATATATTTAGGTTAATTGGATGGATTGTTTGTTATTGCGATTTAATAATGATTAATTTCGATATATCTTTTGTAACATATATACTAAAAAGCAAATAAATAAATGTTATATCTATATTTAATTTTTCCTACCTTTACCTTGTCGCCACTTGTAATAGTCGATACTTCACAGCAATTCACTGGTTCACACACGCACACGTAAACTCAATAGTTTCACTACGCGTCCACTCTCCCGCGGCTCTCGTGATACTGACACGGTGCGCTCGAAACAGTGGGCATTTATATTCGTGTATTAACAGGCAATATAAATGATAATACCTTCATTTCGATCTATGAACTGTATTTTATTACATACTTGCTAACATTTTAAAATCACATACACTACAGTTATTGTTATAATAACAAATGATTTCACCAAAATAAGTATAAACTTATTTTGGTGAAATCACTGTCTCGTTTCTTTACTACCTACTTCTTTATTGCTTTCTCATTTGCTTATTTTTAAAATTTTATAATTTCATTTCAGATCGGAAGGCAACTATGATCTTTATAATTATATAAAGAATGAACAAACGTGAATCTTTATATTGTCGCCCTTTCAGATCATATCATGATCCAAATCATGGCACTTCACTGTCCACGTCGTCTTTGATACCTATCATAACTAGTATTAATATGCAGCCTATATTTGTAAAATCACCACAAAATTTTCTGAATATATCAGAGGAAAATTCAGTTATGGATAATAACGATTTTGTTTTTAACACTAGGGACAATTCTCAAGTAGTGGTACTAAACTTGCAGTGGTACAAACTAAAAAAATAGGCACAGTTAATTTATCTTAATGTTAACTGATTTATGTAATTGTACCTTGTACCTTGTAATTGTACTAACTTAGTTAACTGATTAATAAATTTTACCTTAGTGTTAATTGATTAATAAATGCTATCTTGTTAACTGGTTGATAAATGTTACCCTAAAGTTAATTGGGTAATAAATGTTATTTTTTTAACTAATTAATAAATGTTACCTGTTACGGACGGCGAAGGGAATCGCCACGCCGTCGCCCCCTCATACCCTGTCACGCCCCGCGCACTCCGGATACCGCCCGGACAACACGTGAGGTCGGCGACCAATCAGCGCGCAGCACACTGCGTAAGAACACGCTCAAGCCAAGACACCCGCCGCGGGAATATAAGAAGGGCCTTTTGGGCTCCGATTCATACACATTCCGCTTGCGCCGCCGCTCTTGAGCGGACGTGTTCAAGCTGACCGCACTATCGTCCCCGTACGTTAGTGCCCTCTCGCTCTCGCGCCTCCGTTATCCTGCTCACGCTGTGCAGCGCTGACGCTTTGGTGAGTGTTTCACTGCTAACTCTCTAAGGATCTCCTAAGTGTGTGTTGGTTGTGGATTACACAGTGGTCCCAATCAACCGCCGGTACGACATACTCCGCTAAGCGTCGAGTCCGTATACGTAGGTTTTAAAAATAAAATTTTAAAAACAAAAGCTTGGGAACAAATATCAAAAGTTTTATTTCCTGATTACGAGAATTTCACACCTGAACGAAAAAACAAAGTTGGTGAGTTTACAGTATACATGTTTATTGTTTTTTTTTTTTTTAATAAATAGTATTATACCTTATTTAGCTGCCAAGGCAGAGTTCCTCTAGTCATAAAATAGGTCGCAAAATGCTGTCTTACGACATTCGGTGCTGTCTCTTCTTCATCTGCGGGTTGTATTGGGAGAAATTCATCAACACTTATAGCAAATTTATCTCTTTGTCTAAAACCATCTCGATCAGCGACAAAATTGTGTAGTACACAACATGCTTTTATTATGTCAGTAGCGAAGTTATAGGACACGTCTATCGGTCTGTGAAAAATGCGCCATTTGTTTGCCATAATCCTAAAAGCGCATTCAACATATCTTCTGGCCCTGCTTAGACGATAATTGAAAACCTTTTGTTGTAAGTCGAGATTTTGACCACCATATGGACGCATAATATTTTTGCTCAGTCCAAAAGCTTCGTCACCCACAAATACATACGGGGTTGGTGTATTGAAACCAGAGAGTGGCTGGGGATGAGGTAGTGGTAAGTTGTTGTTAATCATTAGCTCGTACAGTTTAGAATTTTGAAACACGGTTGAATCGTATTCTTTTCCGTATGCACCGATGTCGACAAAAATGAATTTGTAATTTGAATCCACAATAGCTAGAAACACAATCGAAAAGAAGGCTTTATAATTAAAAAAAGTGAGCCGTCGATGACACCAACACAGTGAGGAAAATTTGCCTTTACATCAAAATCCCTCGCTATTGTTGTTTGGAATCTTTCAACTGTCAGTTCTGGGATGTTGTCTCGAAGAAGATTTGTCCATATAGCACGACAAACTCTATGTATCATATATGCAATAGTAGATTTTCCCCGTTTGAATTTCAAATGTAAATCCGTTATTGAATTTCCACTTCCTAGGTATCTGAAACAATAACAATTATTTTAATAATTATGAGATAGATAGATAAATTCTTTATTGCTCATAAGAACTAATTAATACTAAAAGGCGGCCTTATCCCTTGAAGTTATCTCTTCCAGGCGACCCTTGATGAAGGAAATTAAAAATTAATTAGGTATTGTGTGTCATAAGCAGAGGTCGGAATCTGTCGGTCATTCCAGGTCCGCATTCAAGTAAATACGATTGCGGCCCAGTTTGTAAGAGAATGACCTGCAGATTCCGATCTCTGGTTATAAGTTGGTTAATTATTTTTATCAGGCACTCTTTCTCTTTTTAAGTATACCCCGTCAATTTTTGATTACCCGAGAAAATTTACTGTCATATTCAGACATCGATAACAGCTGTTCCATACATTTTGGTTCAGTAGGTTTTATAGGTTCATTTTTATAGGTAACAGCTGTTATTTTTTTCGCGATTCCAGAGTTGGTCACAGTGAAAGTTGTTTGTTATCGATGTCTGATTATGTCAGTAAATTTTCTCGGGTAATCAAAAATTCACGATTATAGTATAACTTATTAAATCTTGTTTACTATTGGTTTTGCAGGTAATGATTTAGTGAAGAAATGGAGAAGTATCAAAGATAATTTCTTCAGACACTTAAAAAAAATAAAACAAGCATCAAAATCGGGCTCGGGTGCTACGAATCTGAAAAAGTATCATTTATATAACCAACTTCTTTTTTTGAGAAGAGTGGAACAAAATGCCACCGAATCTAGCTTATGCTCGCCTAGAGAAAGCAACACTGAATCTACGTCTACAAATGATGAAATTACTATAGACGAGTCTCCGCGCTATGTTCCAGTCGCGCGCAAAAGGGCAATGCAAATAAATGAGTTTGAAAGAGAAGGATTAAAACTTCTCAAGGAGCCGGAAAATCGCCATATGTCCTTTTTCAGAGGTATATAGCCATCAATACAAGATTTTTCCGACCGAGAAACTCTCAGTTTCCAAAGTGAAGTAATACAAATTATAAACGAAATGCGGTATGGACAAACATCATCATATGTGTGTGGCCCATCAACGTTTCAACAACCATTATCATATGGGTATCAAATAACAAATTTTCAAAGTACATACAATTCTGATTATAATAATTCAATTACATCTCCAGATCAAGCATCTCAAGCAAGTGAAGAAACCGAATACGATTTTTCAAATATGTAATTACTGGATAAAGTCTCTCTAAACTTAAACTTATAACAATTGCTGATTATTTGTTAGTTGATTACTGATATTGATTAGTTGATTATATAATACGAGGGCTGCGGGAATAGAATATTTCCACTGTTCCTGTCATATTAAAATCTTTTTAATTGAAAAGTCCTTGGTTTTAAAAATCGAATACCATTTATTTATTTAAAAAAAGATTCTCGGTCTTGCCACAAGGTTTTATCAAACTTGTGTAGTCGTTGAGAAAATGGAATTGACTCGAGAAAATTCAAGAGCGATGATTTATTATGACTTTCGAAGTGGTTTAACAGAAAAACAGTGTGTTGACCGGATGATTTCTGCATTTGGTTATGAAGCCCCATCCAAAACCACAATTTATCGCTAGTTTGCTGAATTTCAACGTGGACGTGTCAAGCTCAGTGATGATCCCCGTCAAGGTCGTCCAAAAACTGCAGTCACCCAAGAAAACGTTGATGTTGTGCGTAAGCTGATTGAGGAAGATCGACATGTGACATACCGCGAAATTCAGGCAACTTTAGACATTGACATGAGTCAAATACAAATAATCTTGCATGAATAATTAGGTGTAAAAAAGTTGTTTTCCCGATGGATACCGCATTTGCTCTGTGAAGAGCAAAAAGCGGCTCGCGTTACTTAGTGCGTCAGAAGTCTCGAAAGATTCCACGCAGGATCCTCAAATGCTGTATACAACATCGTATCAGGTGACGAATCCTGGATATACGCGTACGAACCCGAAACAAAAAACCAGTCACGAGTTTGGGTGTTCGAAAATGAGTTAAAGCCAACAAAAATTGTTCGTTCACGGAGTGTTGCAAAAAAAAATGGTGGCCACGTTTGTCTCCAAAACCGGCCATGTTACGACTATTCCTCTTGAGGGACAAAGAACGGTTAATGCAGAATGGTATGCTAGCATTTGTTTGCCACAGGTCGTTTCTGAACTCCGTAAAGAGAACTGCAACCGCCGCATCATCCTCCATCACGACAATGCGAGTTCTCACAACCGCACACAGAACAAAAGAGTTTTTAGAGCAAGAAAACATAGAATTATTAGACCATCCGCCGTACAGCTCCGACCTAAGCCCTAATGATTTCTATACTTTCCCTAAAATAAAGAATAAATTGCGTGGACAGAGATTTTCAACACATGTAAAAAATAAATAAATAAATAAATAAAAAAAATAAAAATAATTTATTTCGGACAACAAGATCCATAGAATTTGTTAGTAAAGAAAAACTTACATCTATGTTAGTAATATAATTTATACTCAATACTTAATTATTAAACAGGACATAGTCCTGGCGATCATTTGTTTAATCAGTGGACAGTCCCCACTGTCTGCAATCTCACTCAGCACACTGTGGCCGCTGCCGCGCACTCTGTTTAGCAAGGATGCGGTCTTTTTTCTGATTATTGCATCAAAGCTATCCACACCCGCCAGTGCAAACATCGCAGACGCGCTACAGTAGCGCGGCAGCCGCAACAGCGCCCTAAATGCATTATTGTATTGAGTACGTAGGGCACTATAGGCCTTTTTGGTGTAGTTGGTCCATAGGCTGCAAGAATAAAATGACGCACAATATGCTTTGAAAAGCGTGATCTTTACAGCGTCAGTGCAGCGACCAAATCTATGCAAAGCTGTGGACGCCTACAAAACGGCCATTTTGGAGACCCCAACTTCCGAATGGAATGGTCGCTTCAATGATTGGTTCCATCCTATGGAAAAATGTGTCAAATTTCGCGGAGAATACTTCGAAAAGCAATAAATACATTTTTAAATAGTAATGTTGTGTCACTTCCTTGAGTCCCGAAATTTTCAGTGCCGCCCTCGTAAACAGACCAAAAAAACCTGTTATCTTTTCATTACTTATCTAAATTCTTACCTTAAAGTAATTCCCAGCATTTCTATTGGTTCCACTCGATTCCTGATATTAGTATAGTTTTTTCGTATGTGTGGTTCTAAGGACTTCAATAAACATTCGAAGCTCATTCTAAAAAAATTATAAAACTTCTTTTCGTCTAATAGCAACTCCCGATATTCTAACAAAAAAAAACTCTCCATTATTATTTCTTAATGAAATGAAGGGACAGATCCAATACCGTCTTGTGATCTTGCGTCGATTTCGGCGGTGACGTAGTAATAGGAGCAATGCTAGACGTCTTTTCCAATCCATGCTTTTCTACAGACTGACTGCGATGTTTTTACAAAATGCTTGCCGCAACTGTGCGTCGCCGCTGCACCGACGGAACGTTAAGACTGCGTCGTAGTAACACTGCGATGGCGCAGCGCCTGTGTGGCCGTCTATGCGTCAAAATATTTGCGTTGCGATGACGCAACGCAACGCAACGCGCCGTGTGGACTTGCTCTATGGAGGAGGCATTTAGGGCTCACAAATCGCCGCCGAAATCACCTTCACCACCGAAGCCAACCCCCCCCTCCCCACCTCACCCGGCCGCAGGAGCATGGACGCGACCAAGTTCGAGCAGGGAGGAGAGGAGTCCTATGGTTGGGACTCCACATCCTACGCGACCTTAGCGACCGCCGGACAAACATCGGCACCTACCAACCCTTCAGGTCTACCGCAAGATGACGGTCAAAGGCCTTCAACTAGTTACGCCCAAATGGCAGCAATGCCAGCAGTACCACAGACAGCTGACGTCCCTCAACCACAAATAGAGAAAGAGAAGGCACGTTACCACCCATTGTAGCTGCGTGCCTCCCGGACTAGACGAGGCACTTTAAAATCCTGAATAGGAAACTTGGATACCCACCTAACCTCGTCCATTCGGGAAGGGTGTTCGATTCACCCTACAGAGCCCGGAAGAATTTCGGGCTATACAGAGATATCTCATAGAATTGACCGAAAAAGTTCCATCGCTGTCCTGGTATTGCTACACCCCGGCGGAGGAGAAGCCCACTAAAGAGGGCATCCGGGGGCTGCCAGTGGACACGGATAGCGTCCAGATAGAAGAGGCTATCAGGGCAAAGGGATTCCCCATTAATTATGTGAGAGCAATCCCTCCCCGTAGAGGAAGACCTGGGTGCCTCTACTATGCGCAATTGGACCATCTAAGCCTAGAACGGCTAAACCAATTATACGCAGTCGACGAACTCCTCTTTATAAGAGGGGTCGTCATAGAATCCTGGCAAGGACGAGTGGGACCGAGACAATGCTACCGCTGCCAGGCTTTTGGCCATGCATCTGCAAATTGCCACATACCCGTTAAATGTATCCGCTGCGCAGGGGAACCCATAGCAAGTAATTGCTCACGGGGTAGAGAGGAGGAACCCACATGCACCAACTGCGCGAAAAACCACACTGCAAACGACCGACGCTGCCTAGTCCTGAGGATTGCTAGGAAGCAGGGGATCACTCTGCCGGGAAGCCCCGAAGAGGGTCCCCCAGAGTCACCAGAGAGTAGAAGTCCAGGAAGACGGGTGGGCTACCATCAGGGGGAGAGGGAGGCATACCGCCTCCCCCCTCCCCACCCATACCTATGGAAACGGTGGAACCTGTTGCAAGAGCAACCACCGGGGCGACTCTGCAGCCCCCCGCAAATGATGCCAAAGAGAGGCAACCCTCTAAGAAGAGGAAGCGGGGGAGGAAGAAGAAAAGGTGCAGCCTCCTCCTTAGGCAACAAACTTTACCCCTACTCCAGCAGTAACGATAGCCTCGCAGGCGCAGGTTATCAAGAGGACAGCCCTAGAAGGTAGAACGCCAGAAAGGGCTCTATCAGAAAATAGAGCCCGCTCTACACATAGAGCGCGCTCTACCTTACGGAAAGAAACCAAAGCCCAGCCGAGACCAGTACCATCTACAACATCTAGACAGCCAACCGCCAACACAGATACCATGGATGCAATCCAGAGGCTGGTTGGCATCGCCATTGAGGTCGGTAGCCAGGTCCTGGCTGACATCAGAGCCGGCGCCGACCCAAATACCGCAGTGATGCGAGCACTTGCACAACTACTGGCTCGGCACTACGGAGGCGAGTAGCACGAACCTGCGCCTGCTCTACTGGAACCCGGACGGTATCTCTGAAACAATTTGACAACTGTGACAGAACTTTCTGTGCGGAAAGCACAAATACAAGCGAGTACAATCGAATAATCTACATGATTCTATATGAAAAAAGTTCGAATAAAAATGTAACTGAAAACTTATTCTATTTTGTAATTAGTTCAGCTCAGGAATTAATTGAAATTCAGGAAAGTAAAGATCCATATGAAAGTGTTAAGTCTCGCAATAGTCAGGCATCAACGCACTGCTGTGGCAATAACTTCAAGAGTGTTAAGTTACCTACATTCTCAATAGTAAATGTCATCCATCCCGGCTATGTGTCAAATATTGATAATCTGTAACTGTCATCCATCGCGGCGGTCAATTACCGCCATTTTTTTTAATTACTGGAAACTACAATTATACTTCGCTTTTAGCACTAATGTTAAAACATAGATAAGAAAAACATTTTTGGAACAAAGTTCCTTATCGGACGGTAAGAATTTGGCGGATGGAGGCTAGGCGAGATAAAGTGTAAGATTTTTCCATCACGACTCATTCTGACGTAATGTAGACGGCCTTGGTGGCAATTAGGAATCGAGAATTAATTATTGAGATTTTCTTTTTATTTTCTTTCAGGTGTAAAGCCTAGCTTAGGCAGCATTCTCACAAAGTATAACATTAAGGCTAAGTAAGTAATTCTTTAATATTATCTACAATAATTAAGAAATATTGTGGTGAGAAAATAAGTTACTACTATTGTTACTGTTATTGTTAGGAATGAGGGTAAAATAATAAAAGAAAATAAGAAATATTGAAGGTAGAACTATAATCTCCTAATTGTTTTAGCAGTATAAAGTATCACGCAGTCGACTAAGAGCGATCAGTCAGTCTGTAATTCTACGAGTCTCATGTCGTTATTATGCCCGTTAGGCTAAAACATTACTTCTACACTGAGATTCTGCCCAAATAAG